TGTCTGCTCCACAGCCGCTGATGCCCAGTAAGGGGGTCCGCAGAAAGAGGGCTTGGGTCCACTGCTGCCACGGCCAGCCTTCGGCATGTGTGGGGACACAAGGCCAGGGTTCCCTTGATGAGCAGGGCGTGTTTGTTGGTGTACTTTTTTGGTTTGCAGAAGGCTGTTCTTTAATGGCTCAAATTGCCTCATCACTGGTACCCCGACAGCTTTTACTAATGAGGTCCCATAGGGCTTTGTACAACAATCAAGGTCACCTGTGTCCGTCTCTGTCAGTCATGAATGATCGCATCTTCAAAATGAGTCCAGAAATAGTCAATATCCAATGATTCTCATCAAACTAAATAGTAGCACACGTGCATAAATAGCGATGTCTTTTGATTCTCGGCGGATACAGCTCTTGACCCGTTTTCAGTTTTGCTCGATGCATCGATGAGCAGAACAGAAAAAGAAAGGTAGAACAGCCAGGAAGCTTTTTTACAGGAAGCCAAAGGGTGTCTGAGGAAGTGTGCGAGGCGAGAGCAGCGCACAGCAGGCTGGCGTTACAAGACGGGTTCGGTGTCATTCCAGGATTGCTTGTAATTGTCGGCCTGTTCCGGCTCAAGGAATGCAGACTGGCTTGGCTATCAAGGCACAATCTGAGGGGAAGTCTTGTGGTTTCAGTACATTTTAGGATATCTGATCGAAGCGGTGGGGAGGACATTCATATGGTACGGCCTATGTTTTGACTTTCAGGTATAAAGGACTGGTGTCATGCGTTCCAAAGCCCAGTTTCTGGACTGAATAGGAAGATGACCTCGAGATTGTTGACTTCCCTTCGGGAGCAGTTCTCAGTACAATACCTCAAACGAACAGAAAAATCGGTGTAGTTGAAAGCCTGAGGTTTTTTTTCTTCTTTTTTTGTTTTTTTTTAGACGTGGAGGAACAGAGGCAGGTGCGTCAAATGATCTGACGTGGTCCTTTCCGAAATCTGTAGTAAACTACAAAGTTTTTTACTGTTTTTAGAGTTGTCGTGATTGCTCAGCGCCATTGGGAGCTGAGCAGGTAATATTTAAGAGATTTATTTCGTATAAAAAACAAAATCTGGTGTGTGTGTGTGTGTGTGAGATAAATTGACTTGTCTCTTGACCCTGGCAGCAAGTAACAGATGATCATTGAAGGTTTCTTCAAGACCCAGACCTTCCTGTCCTAATTGTTTCAGCTTCACCTTAATGG